AATGCCAGTGTTGCTGAATATGCCATTTGTTAAACGATGAAAATTACTGCTGCAGTGTTCACTGTGAGTATCACTGAATATTATTAATAAACGTAATGAAGCGCTAAAGGCTAAACCCAGGTATACACATTGACATTGAACGAAGTATCAAGGTAAAATAGTGTACACTATGAACTCAACCAGAGCTAGTCAAAATTAATTTTTTAATCTAAGCATATATACATAAAATGTTGACTACTAATAACAGTAGATATGTGGCATATCTCATAAAAACTTTACAACGTAAATATAGTCTTATTTCAATAAATACATTAATATATTTTCAGAATCATTGTAATATCTATACTGCTAATAAAAGCTTACTGACATATTAATGCCATTTATAATGAATAAATGTTTGAACTTGAGATAGTTTACATGCCTTGCCTTATTAATAGTTTCTGTCTACCATTTATGAATCCACTCAAGTGTGATTAACTCCTCTTGTTTACGCAAAGTTTTAAATAACACACTGGTGTATATTTGAACATAACTGCTGCCTACATTTGACTATTATTAATGTTATCCGGAATGGCGATTACCCAGCGTAAATAAATCCAACCTCGAGAATTTGTTGTTAAGCTTTAGACACATTCACAAGAAGAAGAACTACCTTGCAGGTTTCACGTAGACGTGGAAATTTTATAAGGAAAACATTCGTCGTATAATACAAAGAAATATTGGATATTTATCAAGATGTACTCACCATGACTATACATCATAAGTCCAAACACAGCCCACAGACTACACTTTAGAGATAATAACTCATGCACTGTGCCATAAAATCCACCATAAGTGAAATTCATAGCGGACATGAAGGTGCACCGTATTTTAGTAGCGCTCTTGATAGTTTTTTTTTTTTACTCGTTTCCCCTTCCCCCTACTCCCATACACATTTAACGACTAAAGTTAATATTTGTGTTGGTAATTAATGAACCCCGCATTTATCTTTAATGATTATTTGAATATAAATAAAGGAAAAAGATTATAGCGATTGTAAATTTTTATTTCTTATACATTGCCAGTTTTTTTTTTCCTTCATAAATTTTGGCCTCCTGTACCAGTGTGATGAAGTATAAGCTCGAGAAAGTTTTCAGAACCTTGGGATTTTTGTTTTGAACCAATTTAACTAAAATTATATAACAACAAGCAGCAGGATGAACCTGGTAAAAGAGCATATGTGAGTTGATAGTATTATTGATATATGAATGAAGTTTTGATTGGTTCACAAGAAGAACTGGGTGATTAAGGCTTCGTGCACAGGTAGTGACCTACCTGTGTTCAGAGTCGAGTCTCAGCCCCCGGGCCCTCAGGTCTCAGCTAGTTTATTACAATTAAAAGGAAGCGCTAATGCCGCCCGGCTATACAGATCCTGGGAAAAGGAGGCAATCAGTCGACGATCCAAGGAAGGGGGTAGCTAGTCTAATCTTTTGGTTAGAGGCAGAAATACCAGATATATACACCGAAGTTGGCCGAATAATTAGTAGAGTTGTGTTTAATGTACAACGCCGAAATTGTGCACCTGACTTAAATATCATCGAGTTGTGTATCTCAGTATTTAACACCTAAGTTTGCATGTCAGTGTTATACACAGTTCTTCTGTTGCTAAATGTGCGAATATGACAAAGTTGTTTCTCACGTATATATACTGAAAATCACAAACTATATATATATATATATTAATATAATATATATATATATATAATATATAAATATATTGTGGTGTTGTGTGTGTGTGTGTGTGTGTTGTGTGGTTGTGTTGTGTGTGTTTTTGTGTGTCGCAGTTAGTAAAACGTTAAGTGGCGGAATAGCTACCTTCTTGCCAATAAGCAAGCAAAAATTTGTGTATCAATTAATTTATTATAATCAAAAAGCAAGGGGCGCTAACCACTAGGACTATACATGTGGTACAATAATTCGCGAAAACATTCTGAACCAAGGAAAAATATATTTCATGTGTTTGTTTTATTAATAATTTTTATGAACTATAGAAAATATATTTAGTTAATTTAGCTAAATTAAATTGTGCTAGTTATAAGGTTAGGTATTTTCTAAGGTTCTTTTGGTACAAAATTATAATTTTTACATGAACGTAAAAAAAATATATCTTTAATACGTATAAAAAAAATTTTAGAAAGGACTAATTTAAAAGAGTTCATTGCTAAGTGACCATTTTGACCCTTTCGGGCACGACATTATATATAAAGCGTCTTAATAATATGTACGGAGGAAATTCCAGCCGTTAATGACTCTCGTGCAATAATAATCTCAACACCTTTAATAACCTAATTAAGGACAACGAACAGATAACACTTGCGCAGTGTGAACGGTTAAATAATTATAATATATATATATAAATATATATAATAATAGATATATATGAATATATAAATATATATATAGAGAGAGAGAGAGAGAAAGAGAAGAAGAGAAGAGAGAGAGAGAGAAGCGAGAGAAAGAAGAGAAGAGAGAGAGAAAGAGAGAGAAGAGACAGACAGACAGACAGACAGACAGGCAGACAGAGACAGACAACCACGACAGACAACAGGGACAGAGACATACAGACACAGAGACAGATCCTGACAGACAGAGACAAGACAGAGAACAACAACAGAGACCGACAGACAAGACAACAGACAACAGACAACAGACAGACAGACAGAGAAAGAGACAGAGGAGAAAAGAATGAAAGGAGAATAAAAGGAAAAGGAAAAGGAAATAAATAACAAGAGAAGCAATGAAGGTGTAGTAACAACACACTGATAGACATAATAACCTGTAATTATTCCGTGAAGACATGGCACAGTGTCTCCTCATCCTTGGAGCAGCCCACACCTTTACGTATCTCCCAGGCCCCTGAAGGCGGCCCACCTGTACTCGTTTCCCCAACCCCTGAAGGGCATCCCACCCTACGTCGTCTCCACCAGGCCCGTGGCCTGGTGGCTAAGCCCCGCTTCACAAATCAACGAGGGCCCCGGGTTCGATTTTCCCCGGCGGTGGAAACTTTCGTCCACGTTTCCTTACACCTGTTGTCCTGTTTCAAGCTGCAGCAAATAGGTACCTTGGGTGTTAGTCACTGGTGTGGTCCGCATCCTGAGACAAGATTAAACCCCAATTGGAAATAATTAGACAGTCCCGAGACGCACTGACTTTCTGGGCTATCCTGGTGGCTAACCCTCCGGGTTAAAATTCCGAACGAAATCTAATATTCTCCTAAGGCAGCCCAATCCGTAGTCGCCTCCACAGCCCCTGAAGGCACACACCCCGGCGTCGTCTATCCCACCCATGAAAAAGCACCCACCCCGTACTCGTCTCCCTCCCCAGTCCCTGAGCAGCCCACCCTTACGTCGTCTCTCCAACCCTCTGAAAGCGCCCACCCCGTATGTCGTCTTCTCACCTCAACCCCTGAAGCACCCAACCCTATTCTCCTCCCCACCCTCTGAAGGCACCCACCCCATACGCCGTCTCCCACAACCCCTGAGGCAGCCCACCCCGTAAGTCGTCTCCCCAACTCTAAGGCAGCCCAATCCTAAGTCGCCTCCCCCACCCCTAAAGGAAGCACAACACCCCATAACGTCGTCTCCCAGCCTTGAAAGCAGCCCACCCCGAACGTCCCCGTCTCCCCAGTCCTAAGCAGCCACCCTGGAACGTCGTCTCTTCAACCTCTGAAAGAGCACCCACCCCGTATCGTATCCTCAACCCCTGAAGCAGCCCAGACCCGATGTCGTCCCCTCCCCAGCCCTTGAAGGCACCCACCCCATAACGCCGTCTCCCCAACCCTGAAGGCAGCCCGCCCCGTACGTCTCTCCCCAACTCCTGAAGGCAGCCCAATCCCGTAAGTCCTCCTCCCCAAGCCCCTGAAGGCAGCACACCCCGTACGTCGTCTACCCACATCAGCCCTTTGAAAGCAGCCCACCCCGTACGTCGTCTCCCCAGTCCTGAAGCAGCCACCCTGTAAGGTTGTCTCTTCAACCTCTGAAAGCACCCAACCCCCCGTAAGTCGGCACCTCAACCCCGGAAGCAGCCCAACCCGTATGTCGTCTCCCCAGCCCTTAAGCAGCCCACCCCAACGTCGTCTCCCCAACCCCTGAAGGCAGCCCCACCCCGTAACATCTCTCCCCCACCTAACCCTTGGGCACGACCTACTCCACAGTGAACAAATTGACACCACCCTACGACTGCTCACTCTCCTGCCTACTGTTATAAGCTCTTTCTCCGCACATGCCGTATTCTATTCAAGATTGATGGACTGTCCACATCCGACTCAATTGAGGGGACCGTTACCTCATTCGCGTCCGTTCTTTCAAGATTCACCTTTTCTGGACTGATTGAAGCCACTGTGTGCGAACGTATCCTCAATAAAGATACCCAAAAGTTTCACAATGTTTCTAATTTTTATCAACGTTCGGTTCTTACCATTCATCTACAGTCTCCCACACCCGAAGGCAGCCCACCCCCCCTTTTTTTTCATGAGATTTAGACAAATTTCAGGAGATTTAGACAAACTTTCAGGAGTATTTAACAAACTTCAGAGGATTTAACAAACTTTCAGGGTATTTAGACCCAAACTTTCAGAGATTTTAGACAACTCATTCGTGGTCAGAAAAGTGCAGATGCAGTTCAATGTAGATAAATGCAAGGTTCTAAGCGCGGACGTCCATAACCTTGTACTTATAGTTAGATACGTAGCACTTAGCCATACATATTGCGAAAAGGTTTGGGTTATGTATCACAACCTTAAACTAAGACACAGTGCCTAGCGTACGTAACCAAGCAAACAGATTACTGGATTTATATCAAGAAGGTAAGCAACAGAAGTCCAGCGGTTATTTTTACAGCTTTATACATCATTAGTAAGGTCTCACCTAATTACGCACTCAGTTTTCTGGTCTCCATATTACAGAAATGGATTAAATTCGCCAGAAAGTTAAACAGCGTATAATGACCAAATTAATATACAGCATTAGAAATCTGCCGTACGAAAACGATTGAAGACTCTAAACTCAATGCTGACCATTACTTAACTCAGTGCTGTACCTATCTTAACTTCCGTGCTGACCCTATACATTAACTCTTGAAGATTGTCTGTTGCTCCCGTGGACAGAACCAAGATGCCCTCCATCGCGCACACTTACCACCAACTTAAGGAAGAAGTTGAGGGCAGCGAAGATGAGATACGGCGTGACCGAGAAAACAAAGGATTTCGTAGTAGTCCTCCAGTTTTCGATGTCCTCAGTCCAAGAAGGATCGTGTCAGTGCTGGACAGCAGGGACGACGAATTGACGATCAAGAAACGAATGGAAAGCCGAAACGATGAAGAACAAGAGACTGCTGTGGAAACTCCGGGAAACCTCAACGCTTTCTCGTAGCTACCCGACGAATGTGATTCTACTACTGGGAACGGCCCACGATCGACAACAAGTACCATAAGCCGGGACGGTGGAGGGCGAAATAAATTCATGCAAACGACAAGTTTCATGCATATGTGGGACGGAGTCGACTCCACCCTTGCAGCAACATTTTATAAGTTTCAAACTATAATTTGTACCCCATACCCTTGTTATGGCGTGATTCAAAGAACTACAGAGGTACATATGACTGGCTCTTTCAAAGCTTATATCTCGTACCCCATACCCATATCTATGCGTGAAACCACAGAGGACAATGAAGAACGGGCC